CTTACACCCCACTGGCCACTGGACAAGTTTACCTTACACCCTACTGGACATTGGACAAGTTTACCTTACACCCCACTGGACATTGGACAAGTTTACCTTACACCCCACTGGACATTGGACAAGTTTACCTTACACCCCACTGGCCACTGGACAAGTTTACCTTACACCCTACTGGACATTGGACAAGTTTACCTTACACCCCACTGGACATTGGACAAGTTTACCTTACACCCCACTGGACATTGGACAAGTTTACCTTACACCCCACTGGCCACTGGACAAGTTTACCTTACACCCCACTGGCCACTGGACAAGTTTACCTTACACCCTACTGGACATTGGACAAGTTTACCTTACACCCCACTGGACATTGGACAAGTTTACCTTACACCCCACTGGACATTGGACAAGTTTACCTTACACCCTACTGGACATTGGACAAGTTACCTTACACCCTACTGGACATTGGACAAGTTTACCTTACACCCCACTGGACACTGGACAAGTTACCTTACACCCCACTGGACATTGGACAAGTTACCTTACACCCCATACCTTACACCCCACTGGACATTGGACAAGTTACCTTACGCCCCACTGGCCACTGGACAAGTTACCTTACACCCCACTGGCCACTGGACAAGTTACCTTACACCCCACTGGCCACTGGACAAGTTACCTTACACCCCACTGGACATTGGACACTATACACTGTACCAGACACCGGACACCCTACTGGCCACTGGACAAGTTACCTTACACCCCACTGGCCACTGGACAAGTTTACCTTACACCCTACTGGACATTGGACAAGTTTACCTTACACCCTACTGGACATTGGACAAGTTTACCTTACACCCCACTGGCCACTGGACAAGTTACCTTACACCCTACTGGACATTGGACACTATACACTGTACCAGACACAGGACACCCTACTGGACACTGGACAAGTTACCTTACACCCCACTGGACATTGGACAAGTTACCTTACACCCCACTGGACATTGGACACTATACACTGTACCAGACACAGGATACCCTACTGGACATTGGACAAGTTACCTTACACCCCACTGGCCACTGGACAAGTTACCTTACCCACTGGACATTGGACACTATACACCGTACCAGACACAGGACACCCTACTGGACACTGGACAAGTTACCTTACACCCCACTGGCCACTGGACACTATACACTGTACCAGACACCAGACACAGGACACCCTACTGGACACTGTACACTGTACCAGACACCGGACATGCTACTGGACACTGGACACTATACACTGTACCAGACACCGGACACCCTACTGGACACTGAACAGTGTCTATTGGCAGTCTAATACAGAAATGTTAGTAGTTAGTGATGATTAGTTATTATCTGCTATGATTGGTATAGATCAATATGTGTGTCTCTCTCTGTGTGTGTATACGTATTGCCTATTGCTGTGAAGTTATAACACTGTATAAAGTTACAGATGGTATATTGGGATAATACCTTGATAGTTGGATAGTTAGCTGGGTAGAACAATTCTACTATTAACATCAGGTACTAGTCTTACAACTTTAAAACTGTAGATTTTATTTGGAAAGGGGTTTACAGAAAGTTTTCTACAAAATTATAGAACAAAACTTTCACACTGTAGATTTTATTTGGAAAGGGGTTTACAGAAAGTTTTCTACAAAATTATAGAACAAAACTTTAAAACTGTAGATTTTATTTGGAAAGGGGTTTACAGAAAGTTTTCTACAAAATTATAGAACAAAACTTTCAAACTGTAGATTTTATTTGGAAAGGGGTTTACAGAAAGTTTTCTACAAAATTATAGAACAAAACTTTAAAACTGTAGATTTTAGTTGTTGATGACCAAAGTTAGAGCCAGAGTATTGGTTATATTTCACTATGTTTCCTATTAAGAGTTGGCACTAGTCATAAAACTTTAAAAGATATTAGTTGGAGAAAGTTTAAGTTATATTAAATTGATTTAAAAAAAGATTTAAATGGAAAGTTAGCCGTTTTTAAAGGGTTTTGTCTTAACAGCAGGCACTTCCAACAGAAGAGACGAAAAACGACCAAAATCGTTTTTTAATCTGTGTTATCAGAAACTTCAAATACAAACTTTATCAAAAGTTTTGTTATCTAAAATTCTAATATTGTTTCTCCTTCAAAACAAAGTGATATTGGTTGAAAATAATTCAGGTACATTCTGTTATCTTTAACGTAGGAGTCAATAGAAATAAATAAAATTTCATATCAAAATATTTTTGATGTATTATGACACATAATGTTAAAATAGTACTCAATACATCAACTGTAGAGCTATATAGAAATACCACTGTTAAAATAGTGTTCAATACATCAACTGTAGAGCTATATAGAAATACCACTGTAAAAATAGTACTCAATACATCAATTGTAGAGCTATATAGAAATACCACTGTTAAAATAGTGCTCAATATATCTATTGTAGAGTGATAAAGAAATACCACTGTTAAAATAGTGCTCAATACATCAATTGTAGAGCTATATAGAAATACCACTGTTAAAATAGTGCTCAATACATCAATTATAGAGTTATATAGAAATACCACTGTAAAAATAGTACTCAATACATCAATTGTAGAGCTATATAGAAATAACATTGTTAAAATAGTGCTCAATATATCAATTGTAGAGCTATATAGAAATACCACTGTTAAAATAGTGCTCAATACATCAATTGTAGAGAGATATAGAAATACCACTGTTAAAATAGTGCTCAATATATCAATTGTAGAGCTATATAGAAATACCACTGTTAAAATAGTACTCAATACATCAATTATAGAGCGATATAGAAATACCACTGTTAAAATAGTACTCAATACATCAATTATAGAGGGATATAGAATACCATTGTTAAAATAGTGCTTAATACATCAATTATAGAGTGATATAGATATACCACTGTTAAAATAGTACTCAATACATCAATTGTAGAGTGATATAGAATACCACTGTTAAAATAGTACTCAATACATCAGTTGTAGAGCGATATAGAAATACCACTGTTAAAATAGTGCTCAATACATCAATTATAGAGAGATATAGAAATACCACTGTTAAAATAGTGTTCAATATATCAATTGTAGAGCTATATAGAAATACCACTGTTAAAATAGTACTCAATACATCAATTGTAGAGAGATATAGAAATACCACTGTTAAAATAGTGCTCAATACATCAATTGTAGAGTGATATAGAAATACCACTGTTAAAATAGTGCTCAATACATCAATTGTAGAGTGATATAGAAATACCACTGTTAAAATAGTGCTCAATACATCAATTGTAGAATTGAAAAAAAAAACATGTTGTTACCCAGAGTTTCACGCTATGTGATCTTCAAATAACTGACCTTTTCAGCCTGCGTCTCTGAAGTATATATATATATATTTAAAGACGAAACTTCTCGTGTTAAAATTCAAAAATTTTTTTTTATAAATTATTTGTTAACTTTATATTAAACAAGTTTGAAAGAAAATTGTACGTTGAATTAAATATTTCAACCGATCCTAAATTTATCTTTCAAATCAAATACCTTCTATAAAAATTCTTCTCGCTTAACAAAGGACAGCATCTCAATCACAAACACCTGATGGTACTTCTCTGTGGAGAGGAGTCCACTACTATACAACTTTTAATCTCGATTTTTCCATGTTTTGGACGAGATTTTGATTAACGAAGTTGTCTTGCATGTAGGGATTTTTTATTTATCTAAAACACATGTCAATTCTAAGCCTGAATAAAATAATTCAGCCCATCATAAGTTATCTTTGAGAAAACGTCTAAAAAACGAATGTGTTATCTTTCATATTCAGTGAAAAACATCAGGACACTTACAAATTGTATTGAAAAGCAGAGATTAAGTTAAAAAATTCATAATAAATTAAAAAAATAAGCTTTTAGCTTTTGAAATGCATGACTTGTAAAATATAAAATCATTTTTAACAATGAAATTTGAACGGGGTTGTTCTGATGGTAGTTTTAGGGGCCATTATGGCTGGGTGCTAACTTGACTATTACCCTAAAAACTATGTGTTATTTTGTGATAGCGATGCGGCACCCCACGACTTTTAACAGACATCAGACTGGAACTTATAACAGTGGAAATAGAAAAGTTTACAGCTGTAAAGATATCATCTTCATGCTGTGAAAATATTGTAATAAAAAATTTGGCAAGATGATATCTTGTATAAGTCTTTATATTAAACAATGTTGCATAAACTATTACAGTTTTTATTCTTTATATTAGAATAGAAACCTCGCTGCCTTTCAAAAATTGAAACGAAGTTTTTGAATTAATTGGGCGAGATGATATCTTGTATAGGTCTTTATAGTGAACCACAATGCATAAACACTTACAGTTTTTTTTTGTTTATTTCAGATATGATTTCAGATATGATTGATATGAAAAATTTCAAATTCAGACTCTTGGCTGCTGTCATTATAGAAAGCTGTTTGCTTTAAAAACAATTTATTTACAGAAAGTGAAACAAACTTGGCGTCAAATGGATGATATTTTGTGAAATTTGTTATAAACATTGACAGAAACAAAACGATTCTCTTGAAGGCACTGTGATTCATGAAAATTATACAATATTTTTTATCACTGGTTAAAATGAAAGTGAAAAGTTAAAAATCTGTCTGTGTCATTCAATCATTGTGTAAAAACTGAAATGAATTTGGCGTTATTTTGAATATCAGCTGATATAAATATTGACAAGTTAATTCATAGATCAGTCTGTGTTAAACTAGAAACTAGAGGAAACCAGGCGTTGAATTGTTAATTTGAAAATTGGCTAAAATAAATAAGGACATAGATCTGTCTGCGTTGAACTAGATATTTGAGGAAACCGAGCATCGAATCGTTAATTTGAAAATTGGTTGAAATAAATATCGACAAGTAAATTCATAGATAATCCTGTGTTAAACTCGAAATTTAAAGAAATTGGCTGTTAAATGGTTAATTTAAATATTAGTTGAAATTAATATCGACAATTTAAATCAGATATCTGTCTGTGTTAAACTAAAAACATTAAGAAAGGTTGAATGGTTCTTTTATATTTAGTTGGAGTAAATATGAACATAAAAAAGTTTAAGAAACGTCTGTACTAAGATATAAAAGTGAAATTTAACCGTCGTCTAATCCTATATTCAAATTATCAACAACAAATCTTACCTCGTTAAAAGGGGATTATGTTTTGCGTAGTTCTGTTTTGTTCTATTTTAAACATTGGTATCATTTTCATCTGATGATGACAGTGTAAATTGTAGAAACGTTGTGTACAATAAAACTCAGGAGTAGTATACCATATAAACTGATGATGACAATGTAAATTGTTGAAACATTGTGTACAATAAAACCAAGGAGTGGTATACTATATAAACTGATGATGACAATGTAAATTGTTGAAACATTGTGAAAAATAAAACCAAGGAGTAGTATATCATATAAACTGCTGATGACAGTGTAAATTGTAGAAACGTTGGGAGTAGTATATCATATAAACTGATGATGACAATGTAAATTGTTGAAACATTGTGTACAATAAAACCAAGGAGTAATTACATAGAAATACATCCTAAAATTGTGTTCCGTTATGTGATCTCTACCCCTAAATGTGGCTTACTGATTATTGATAAGATAATATAAGATTATTTCTACAAAACATTGCCAGTTTTTTTTATGAAGAAATCAATAGATCAATTCTATAGGAGATAACACCACAATCATCTACTGAATTGTGTTTTGGATATATCATTTTCATCAGGACAACCCATTTGGAATTAGGGTTAAATTCAATTTTAATATGAGGATGTTGACATGTGAACACATGTGAAAATTATTAGCTATGTGGACTCTCTAATACTCTCTAATATAGTTGACAAACCTAAATATCAATTTAATATTATTAGTTATGTGGACTCTCTGAAAGGGATACCAAGTTAACAAACCTTAATATCAGTTTAATATCAGTTTAATATTAGCTATGTGGACTCTCTGAAAGTGGTACTGAGTTGACAAACCTAAATATCAGTTTAATATCATAAGCTATGTGGACTCTCTGAAAGGGATACCAAGTTGACAAACCTTAATATCAAATAAACATTATTAGCCATGTGGACACTCTGAAATAGCTACGTTAGTGGACTGTTTGAAAAGGTTACCAAGTTTTAAAAGATCTTTTAAGTTTTGGATACGGCCCAATTACAGTAAGAGTATGCAATGGTATATTAAATTGTAATGGACTAATTGATCAAACATATTGTTTTATTATCCAGTGATTGGAATTATAAACATATCGTGTAGTGAGTGGTGTATGATGAAACTCATTGTTAGGAGTTATAATCATATCGTGTATAAAGAGAACTGGATATCAAAGGAAATCAAACAAAGGCTGTATAGTGATATCTTTGATAATATCTGAGGTAATTTAGTATAGTAATATCAAACCATATCGTATCGTATTGATCAATATCTTACTAAACGATCCAATCCCTTCAAAATAAACACATGTCCTATTCACATTTATCAGATTCATAATAGCCTGGCATATCGGCAATACTCACACCTTGGTGGCTTAAAACTTTGCAAGGCGTTATTTGATAATTTAAAAAAATAAAGAACAAAAAGTCAAGTGTTTGTCTGGTTCATTAGCTCTGTAAAATTGACCAGTGTTCAATTTAGTGTTCAAATCTGTCCTTGAAAATTAGTCTGGTAAATAAGACTTTATCTTATTAAAAATATCACAAAGTATCACAAAAATCTGCTTTCCACGGAAAAATAGAACCCATAATGCTATCTTGGTGCCCTTAAAATCCCTGAAATTTGTAAGTTTCTTGATATACTTTGGCATTGATTAGCGTACGTCAATATCACAGAAATATGGCAAACGGAAGTGATGTGTATTTCACCCTTGATAACACTACAATGTCTATCATAGAAGTGCCAGAAGCACTGGCCACGACACGCTACGTAGTGCAAAAAATATTAGTACCCTTTGTGACTGCGTTTGGATTATTGGGAAATTTCTTGAACGTGTTAGTCCTACGTCATCCCTACATGAAAGGAATCTCGACCAATTTCTATCTGTTGGTTTTGTGTATCGCTGATATTGTGTATTTAATATTAACGTTATCTCTCTCATTCCACCATTGTCGCGATTCTCATCAAAACTTAGCCGCCTTTTATTTCATCGCTTACGGACGACCTGCCACAGATTTGGCGGGAAATGTGGCCGTCTGGATCACGGTTGTGTTTACTGTAGAACGTTATCTTGGAGTCCGTCATCCGATTAAAGGAAAAATATGGTGCACTGTGGGTAAAGCGAAGATAATCAGTGTTTTTACTGTCTTGTTCTGTTTCATTAATACCTTCCCAGAAGTCTTTGAAACTAAAATTGCTCAAAAACAAAATGGTGGATATAAGTGCGTTGGGTCAGAGTTTTCTGAACATTCGAGTTATCAGATTGGTTATTACTGGTGGTTTGTGACTATCTTTACTGTTATTCCATGCTCTTGTCTATTCGTATTTAATGGCTTGTTAATCAGGACTTTACTGGTAGCTAAACGAGGTCGAAAAGCTCTGATACAGAAAACAGACAATATGAATAAGAAACTAAGCGTTAAACGACGTGTAGAGCAACATAAAGTCACGTTAATGCTGGTAACTATAGTGATTATATTTCTGATGTGTCAGTTGCCATGGACCATATTATTACTGTATAGGACGTATTTATCAGAAAGAGGCTTACGTCAGCCAATTAATGACATCAGAATTGCCGGCAATATTTGTAATCTTTTAGTTCAAGTGAACGCGTCAGTGAATTTCTATCTTTATTCATTTTTCAGTCGTAAATTTCGTAAAACTACGCAAAAGATATTTTGTCGGAGAAAGTTCGCTGATCAATCTTCATTTATTTCACGAACTACCAGGACTATGTCCTTTAAAAGACAACCTTCTCAATATTCTGCTCAAGATAATTAATGAGAAACAGTCGTCTATTTCCTTTATCAGCTGATAGAACTCAACTATATTATATATGTTGACTTTTTTCAATTCAAGCTAACAGTTAGTATACCTATCTGAATATTCGCTCTATCAGCTGTTATAACTTTAAGTTATATTGTCATCTGAATATTTGCTCTATCAGCTGTTAGAACTTAAAGTTATATTGAAAGTTATATTGTCATCTGAATATTTGCTCTATCAGCTGTTATAACTTTAAGTTATATTGTCATCTGAATATTTGCTCTACCAGCTGTTAGAACTTAAAGTTATATTGAAAGTTATATTGTCATCTGAATATTTGCTCTACCAGCTGTCTGAACTTAAAGTTATATTGTCATCTGAATATTTGCTCTACCAGCTGTTATAACTTTAAGTTATATTGAAAGTTATATTGTCATCTGAATATTTGCTCTACCAGCTGTCTGAACTTAAAGTTATATTGTCATCTGAATATTCGCTCTATCAGCTGTTATAACTTTAAGTTATATTGTCATCTGAATATTTGCTCTATCAGCTGTTAGAACTTAAAGTTATATTGTCATCTGAATATTCGCTCTACCAGCTGTTAGAACTTAAAGTTATATTGTCATCTGAATATTGGCTCTACCAGCTGTTAGAACTTAAAGTTATATTGTCATCTGAATATTTGCTCTATCAGCTGTTATAACTTTAAGTTATATTGTCATCTGAATATTTGCTCTATCAGCTGTTAGAACTTAAAGTTATATTGAAAGTTATATTGTCATCTGAATATTTGCTCTACCAGCTGTTAGAACTTAAAGTTATATTGAAAGTTATATTGTCATCTGAATATTTGCTCTACCAGCTGTTAGAACTTAAAGTTATATTGTCATCTGAATATTTGCTCTATCAGCTGTTATAACTTAAAGTTATATTGAAAGTTATATTGTCATCTGAATATTTGCTCTATCAGCTGTTAGAACTTAAAGTTATATTGAAAGTTATATTGTCATCTGAATATTCGCTCTATCAGCTGTTATAACTTTAAGTTATATTGTCATCTGAATATTTGCTCTACCAGCTGTTAGAACTTAAAGTTATATTGTCATCTGAATATTTGCTCTACCAGCTGTTAGAACTTAAAGTTATATTGTCATCTGAATATTTGCTCTACCAGCTGTTAGAACTTAAAGTTATATTGAAAGTTATATTGTCATCTGAATATTTGCTCTACCAGCTGTTAGAACTTAAAGTTATATTGAAAGTTATATTGTCATCTGAATATTCGCTCTATCAGCTGTTAGAACTTAAAGTTTTATTGTCATCTGAATATTTGCCCTACCAGCTGTCTGAACTTAAAGTCATATTGAAAGTTATATTGTCATCTGAATATTTGCTCTACCAGCTGTTAGAACTTAAAGTTATATTGAAAGTTATATTGTCATCTGAATATTTGCTCTACCAGCTGTCTGAACTTAAAGTTATATTGAAAGTTATATTGTCATCTGAATATTCGCTCTACCAGCTGTCTGAACTTAAAGTTATATTGTCATCTGAATATTCGCTCTATCAGCTGTTAGAACTTAAAGTTATATTGTCATCTGAATATTTGCTCTATCAGCTGTCTGAACTTAAAGTTATATTGTCATCTGAATATTTGCTCTATCAGCTGTTAGAACTTGATTTCAGTTGCTCTACTTACTGCTAGAGCTTATTTTCAGCTATCTGTATAATGGTCTGAATATTTGCTCTACCAGCTGATAAAATCTAAAGTGATGTAATAATATAAATATCTGTTATGATGCAATATTTATCTCCATTGTTTTGTTATTTCTAAAAGATCTGTTATTTTGTTGTTATGTTAAAATGGTAATTAATAAATTATATTTCAATTATTTAAACATTTTATTGTCCTCCTGTTGCTTGTATAACCATAGTAACATTGAGACCATGTCTATATTAACAATGAGACCAAATTAGAAGTACCTGCTAATCTTTAGAACACTAGCACTAGAATTTGACCACAGATCTGAGACCACCGTGTTGTCTTGACACCAAGCACCTGCTAATCTTTAGAACACTAGCACTAGAATTTGGCCACAGATTTGAGACCACCGTGTTGTCTTGACACCCAACGGACCCCACCCTAACGACGGGGCTGGTTATACCACAGATATGCTTGAATAAAATTGTGCATTTCAGAATGTCATTGCGCTTGTCTTGACACCAAAACACTGTAAATTAGACCACAAATATTGGTGTCAGAATGTCACGGAGTAAATAATGCCCTCTAGCTACACTGAAGAGTATTGAGATGATATTTTCCTGTCGTCTTGGTTCCTGATATTAAAATGTCAAGTTGATTCTAACCACGTACCTCCTCTACTTTAACCTTCTCTATATCTTCTTACCGTCACTTTTCAACATAATTGTCTTAATTTTATACCAAAAATAATACTTTAACCTCATTAACTAAACACAGTATTCGCTGTCACTTTTAACAAAATTAGCTTTATAAAGTATTTCTAAGTTACTTTGACTGAGGAGCATGATAACTTTTAATAAACTCAGTATTTAACTCCTTGCAGAGCTCTTTTTCTATTTCCTACTGTCGATCGATCTTAAACTTGTACAGCCTGTAGCACACGGGGCCTCAGTTTATTGTCCCATCTGAACGACTAGATGCTTTTTCCATGTCAGCCCCTCTAACCTACATCACTGACAGGGGAAACCGTGTGGATAAATCCAAAGAAAAGTCTTGAGAAGAGCTGGAAAGAGTTGAAAAGAGTTAAATGATTTGAAATAAGTTGGGAAGAGTTAAAAAAAAAGTTGAGAAGAGTTAATAAGAGTTAAGAAGAGTTGAAGAAGACTTGAAATAAGATAAAAAAGAGTTAAAAAGAGTTGAAGAAGTATAAGAGTATCAAGATAATGATTTCCTGATACAATATTCAATACTTTTTACTGTATTTTACTGTAATAACATGTGAGAAAGCTAATAGATTTTTTCATCGGATTAATAACAAGCACAGTTTTTTACTTTAATGTATTTTTATTGTATTAAAAAGCAGTTTTCGTTTTGATAAAATCTCTCTCATCTGTATAAAATCACTCAATCAGATAATAGATATAGTAGTTCTTTATTTAGGATAATTTAGGATCAAATAGAAAATTTCAGTTGTGATGTTGCAATACTGATAATATCTTAGTTGAACAGTTACTAAAGTCTTCAACCTCTGAACTTTTAAATTTGAAAACTTGTCTTGTAAACTAAGAAACTGTAAACTTTCAATGTATAAAATATCTTGTGGTGTATTAATTGAGCTCTTAATCCTAGATCAGATTTAATATTAAGCACAATTTCCTTGTGATCTGAGCTTTTAATTCTTAGCTTATGATTTTTTAAGCTTGAAATTCGTAACACGAGCTTGATCATTAATCATCAAACTTCCTCAATCATCTTGTGAACTTTTCAGACTTAAAATAAAAATTGTTATTCTATAAAGATATGCCCTGTAATCTAAGATATTTATCGTTAGCTGTTTGGCACATTTCAGACTTAAAAATAAAAAGTTTGTGAACTTTATAGTTAAATTACCACATTATTTATCCCAAATTTTAGAAAAACTTTGTGATCTAAGAAATTGAATCTAAGTCAGTTTATGAACTATTTTAGCTAAATTACTATGTAATAAAACAGTTAGGCGTGTATGAGATTCAAAATTGCTTTAAGATCAAAGCTATTTCTCTATTAAAGCCTGTCTTGTCTATATAAAAAATACATTATAAAGAATAGAACCTTCGTCTCTAGGGATCAAGATGTGTTATCAGTGATAATGGTTATTCGACCAGCGTAAAAAGTAATATCAGAACAATTTAACAAATATTAAGCTAGCTGTATACCAACACAATTTCACTTAATGTTTACTTAATTTGACCAAAGTACATTTTTATTAAACGTTTAAAACACAACTTTCAATTTGTTATCAATATCTTTAACAGCTGTTTATTATAAAGTATTAGAAACTTCATTTTTAGATCCTAATAGTCTATAAGATAAAACAATTTCAATGGCTGAACTACCCCAGGGACTGGTTGAAACCAAGTCCATGGGTCACCATCTGTAAGAGGGTTCCACCCCAAGAATAAAATAATAACAGGCATTAAATTGACTTATAGAGGGGTCTCGGAATGCAGGAAGCATATGTTTAAAAGAAAAGACCCAGGGGAGAGGTCCAATCCTATTTAAATCTGCAGGTATCCAACTCATTTTGATGACAGTATGTCATTAAAATTCTTATTAGAACACAACTTTTACTCTCCATTTTATAATTCTTTGAACGAGATTTTGATTTACATAATTTTCTTGCTTGTACAGACTTTTATTTCAAAAATTATATAAAAAATTTTAACAAATCCTAAGATCAATGACCAGAAAGGACATCACCATGGTTTTTTAATTAGTAATTTTGTAATTTACACCGAATTATCTTCTCTGACGTCAGTAGAGTACAATAAACAACAAACTGAGATTAATCATTACTAGATATCCTGTTAAACTGATAGACTTGTGAAATTATATATACTTGATATAAACATCCTTTTATAGAGACAGGTTCATCATCTGTTTGATCAACATTACCTTAGTCTTAACATCCTATTATAGAGACAGGTTCACCACCTGTTTGATCAACATTACCTTAATCTTAACATCCTATTATAGAGACAGGTTCACCACCTGTTTGATCAACCCTACCTTAATCTTAACATCCTATTATAGAGACAGGTTCATCATCTGTTTGATCAACATTACCTTAGTCTTAACATCCTATTATAGAGACAGGTTCACCACCTGTTCGATCAACCCCACCTTAATCTCAACATCCTATTATAGAGACAGGTTCACCACCTGTTTGATCAACCCTACCTTAATCTTAACATCC